CGTAAAAGAAGGTTTCGGTGACCGTATTGTTGCCGCCGTGAGTGACCACCAAATCAACCACTGGTAGGATCGCTGTCTGCGGCACAAACTGCTGGCCCCACATGTTGTCCGGTAAGTCATACTTGTCATGGAGGGGACCCTTCGCTACAATGAACTTATGCTCGGATTTGCCTAATATTGCGGTCACTCTAGTCATGAGCTCTAAGTTGGCGCAACCGAACGAACCCATCGATAGGAACACCAGTTTTCCGGGTCTACCCCTCAGAGACTCCGGTATCTCAAAGGTGTCATCAGTGGTGCGCACGAAGCCGTCAACTCGTGTCCAGTTGTGGGGCAATGGATGCGCGTCTTTGAAGTCCAACTCTTTGGGAGTCATATAAACGTTGAGGTGTTTGGACAGCGGGTGAGGCACTGATCCGGGCTTTAGTGCCAATCCTTTTCCGGTCATATCTTTATACCAATCGTCGACTTTCTTATTAATACCACTGAAGGCAACGTTGAATCGCTTCCGGAAGGCGTTCCACTCATTCTTATCACTATTCGTTGGAAGTCCTAAAAACAGATAATTTGTATTTTATTAGACAAATATATAAAATATATAATAAAACATGTTACAACTTAAAATAAACTATAAGTGCAAACAATTAAAGCTACATGACCTCCCAGTGACTAATTTATTTAATAAATAATAAATAGCTAACTTGAAGTAGCTAGATTAGATTTAAAATAATAAAATAAAATTTTTAAAATATAAGACTTAATAATAATTATGTAAATAACTAGTGAACGACAGACACCTACCAGACCAGCCCGGGGTTAGGCTATCGATATTGAAAGCGAGAAGGGGTGCGCCTGAATAGAGCAAAATCCAAGGGATAGCCGATTCGGTGAGGGCCGGACAGCCCACATACGAGTCGATGACAATGACATCGGGTTTGACTCTATGGACGATCTCCTTATACTGATCATCCCTGGCCTTCACGCCATCAAACATCGTGTTCAACGCTATGGCAGTCATAGACTCCACGATCTCAATGGGACTGCGTTTGAGGTAATCCTTGTATTTGACTATAAAGTCGGCCCAAAAGTCGATGTTTGGGTCGGCGTTGGGGTCGGGAGGCAGCGAATGGAGCACTTCCTCGAAGCCATATCTCGTGAGTTTGCCTTTGAATGCGACGTCAATGGCGAAGATGACGCGATGGCCGCGACGGTGCAGCTCTTCAGCCAATCCGTGACAGGCGTTGATATGACCCCAACCGTCGAGCGGTGCGAAAAGGACTGTTAGCTTGTTGTTAGACATTGTGTGCCGAGACAGTCGATAGAAAACTAATTTGTTTTAATATGAGTATCAATACTTTCAATATTAAAATCAAACTTTTTTTACTGGCACTTATATATACTGTAGAGTTTGAAAAAAGTTATAATGTTTAGTACAACTTTATATTTTGCACTAATGTTACTGTTAGTATCATAAACACTAGCACTTAATACATATACAACTTTCAATCAATCAATTATTTGATAGAAATTGTGATCAATTTCTCAATTCCTATCACTGACTGAATAATACAGCAAATGATTACTTCAAGTTATTTATGTGAAACTCGTTTTATTCATTAATAGTTTTAAAATTATTGGTTATTTCTTTATATACTAATTTGGATTTATTAATAACCTGTGGAACGCCAGGGTAGCCACTAGTCTAGTAGTAATTATACTGGAATTTTTATCAAGGTCGATATTAATAATTCTGTACTGTTATTCATAGCAGTATTTTACTGTATTACCACTATTAGGCAAGTTTATATTTTTACAAAATAATGCACAAATACAGTATTATACTTTAATAATTAAATGAGCGAGTTAATAGTTGTAAAAAGTCAAAATAGTAAATTCTTGCAATTCTGACCATACAGTCAAACATCGATCGATTTTTGCATAAGAATTCTCTCATAAATAATGTTCACTGGCTATGAATACTATTATATTCTTGAGCATACCCTCGCATGTCTACCTATTATTAACTATCACACCACTGCACCCCTGGCTATACTTCCTCACCAATAATTAGTTATTTATAATTATATTTATTTATAATTCATATGATTAGTTTAAACACACTGACTATTATGTGCACTCAAAACAAATAGCAATTATAATTTAAATACAAGGCCATAGGGATAGCCTTTTCCCCAATAATTAATCTATTTTTATATCAATTGTTTGTAAAATAGATTTTTAAGTGCAACATAATTTTTAAAATATATGTGACATTTTATTTAATACTTGTATCTTATTATTAAACTTTTATTTTATTTTAAATTAAGACTTTAAAACTTCATATTATTTACAGTAGTTTAGAAGTTTTATTTAAAATCATTTTATATTATAGTTAATTAATAAAAATAAATTATTCTGAGTTTTTAGTTGACCCTGACAACAAATATGTAATTCATTTATGACATAATAAGAAATAATATTCAATAGAAAAAGTACAAAATTATTTTACATAACATTTTACTCATTGTGATATAAAAAATAATTATACATTTAGAAATTGATTGATTTGTTTAATAAATAAATTCATAAAAAGTTTTATAAGTTGTTTAGTCTTAATGTATAACTGATTAAGAGTTTTGTTTCAAAATTTGATACTTTCTATGAATGCCGTGAATGGAGGCAATGATGGATGGGATGAGAAACAGTAGACACCATAACCACGAGTAGTCATAACCGGGTCTCTCGACACACAATTTGGTGACGGCGTCGACCCACAGGTCTGTACCGCACATACACTGCCCGGAACGGCACTGTCGGTTGGCATCCCGTTCCTGGCAGTCGCTGTTTATGTGACAAATAAAATGTTTACAACTTTTGTCGTTCACATCGAATATGTAGTTATTATCGCAAATACACCGATTATTACTGCAAACAAACTGTATGTCCAAACAGTCGGCGCTCCTCAAGCA